AAAATTTTCTGTAAACTTAGAAAATTTTATAATATCGTTACCACTGGTGAGGGGGTACTGTGGCGTAGTGAAATGTTGTTTTCTAAGATTTTCAAATATTTATTTTAAGAAAATATTGTAATTTAGTTTTCCCAAAAACGCTTTCACTTTTATTACTCTTTGGCAGATGTTTTTAAGATTAGAGTTATAGTTTTATTACGGCGCGTCAGAGGTACCGTACGTATACAAAATTGCGGTACCCGGATTATCGCCCGGACGACAATTTACCTCATCTAGGTAAACAGTTACCTATGTAAAAATCGTTTACATTCTTTTCGAAAAACATCTCACCGCCTCCCACCAGAATCAAAATTGTTTTTGTACCTTCCAGGGTTTTTGCTACCCTTGGAAAAATCAGTACGGCTTGGGTTTTCTATTTGTAAACACATACTTTTTGCGTATGCGCATTACCCAAGCCTCGACGATAACCTTCAATTTAATAAAAGACTTTATTTTAGTTTAATACAAATTCGAGCACTCATTTATTTACTTCCCCTCAGTATTAACAAAGCTTTAATCGGTCTAATACAATTTGTTCAGTTTCTTCGCCTTCTAAAATAATCGATAGCCGATATCCGTAGGTCATATCACCAGTTTCATTTGCATTAAAATCCGTGGAACATGCAGCTTCTGAATCAAATTTTTTGACCTGAAACCAAAAAATTATTTTGAGTTGAAATTTGTTGTTAAATAATATTTAATATACAGTTTGTATTTTTTAAGGTGAGGTTATGTTCAATAGTAACCGAGTATAACTTACCGATAAACGATGATATTGTCTCTTCATCCATTCACCACACTTGCAATAGATTTCTCACTTTAACCGGATTCATTATTTAACAGCCCTTTGTCATTTTAAAAAAAAAATTAATAATAAAAGCAAAAGTGGCACATGTGCCAGAAGCAAACCACGTGACATGGAACAATAAACTTGTCAGCTGAACAAATCCGGATTGTTCCATCAGCAATCGATAGAGAGTTGGCTTCTGCAACTGTACGGAATTGCAAACTTAACAAAAAATTCGTATTGTTGTTAAAACAACATACGTTTGTATTGACAACAATACGAATTGTAATATTAACATTTCGAATTATAATATCAACAAATCTATGGACAACAATCCAAAAATTATTTGCACAGCAATCCCATTTTTCTCCGTGGAAATCTCACTGATTCAAATTTAGAGAAAACACGAAGCTGAAGTACGCAACGTTTATGATAAATGATTTTTTAAGAAATAATTTTTTAAAATAAAAATTCTATAATTTTTTGCCTAAAAAATATTTTTTAATAATTTGTTGATTAATAAAAACTACAAGAAATATGTTTTAGGCAAAAAAAATTATAGAATTTTCCATTTTTTTAATTAATTTCTTTAAAAATCGTTTATCATAAACGTTGCGTACTTCATCTTCGTGAGAAAACTGAATATAAAGATTTTACATACAAAAAAAATGAAATCAAAAAGTCTTAAATATAAATTATATCTGAAAATACAAAAAAACAGTAAGATTTCTTATATAGTTGATATTAATGACGTAATACGTGAGTTGTATCTACGCAGATATAAAATTACCACGAAACTCATAGTTTATGCCAAATGAATGTGTTGATTTTTTAAAGGATTGACGTCAGAAGTGAAAATAGTTTTTTTTCCAAATATTATTTAAATATCAATAATATATAAAAAAAAATTTTTTTAACTTTTTAAATTAGTAACAAAGCTAAATAAAAATAATTCACTTGAAAATTGGTAAAATATATAGACAATTTTCAATGACGGAATTAATTAAAATAATGAAGAATAATTAAAATATATTATCAAAGTGTATAAAATTTTTGTGAATTACTGTGGTATTGAAAATGTTATAAAAATTTTTTAAATATTAATAAAGAAAGTAGAATAATAATTGATGATGATATTAATGATAATAATTTTCATAGATATTAATGATAATATAATGAATAATTAATTCGAATCCACTTCAATTACTTTTATGGCTTCTTAATAGACTCTATATACTTGACGTTATTAAATATTTTAGCAGCTAATGGTCATTCAAAAAAAGGATTACAATTTCGAGGGGGTAACCAATACTACATAAAATTTTACACGTTTTTGGTTAGAGATCATTGACCTCGCTTCAAATATAGATATTTTACTTAGAATAACCTTGAAGCTAGAATCGGAAATATCTCATCAAAAAAAAAATGGTCGAAATTGTTGGCAGATAAAATTCTTATTTTTAAATAGAAATAAGAACAAAGATAAAAGAAAAACTATGTAAAGTATATAAGAAAATAAATTCAAACTCTAATCTAAAATGATTTTTAACATATATTCTGTTGATAACGAATCATCACAAATTGTCAATTTATTAATAAGTTATTAAATAATCGCCAGTTAACAAAAAAAAATCTAATCCATTTTCGATAAAAAGTAACATTTATGTTATTAATAAAAAACGATAATATCAATCTTAACTATTAAAATCATCTGATATCAATTGTTGGTAAATAATAATCGATATTTATCTATTAGTCAATTGTAATCGAAACTCATCGTCAGCAAATGTAAGGATGTAATCATTTGTTTTGATTAATATTTCATTCAGCAATAATTCTTTTCGATGACTACATTACATCAATAAAACATATCATATAACATCAATAATATAGCTAAATACTGAATTCGCATAGAAAAAAATTTTTCCAAGAATCTTTACACTCATACGTTTCCTGAAAGTTGACAGTAAGCCACTGTTCATTCACGTGATACGATCAATTTAAAAAAAAATTACATTAAATTGTAAGATTTGAAATGATATAATAGACATGGTTCATGGTTTCTATTATAAAAAAATATTTCTATATATAAAAAAAGAAATATTCTGTAAAAAAAATTCTAAGGGTGTTTTCTTTCAAAACTAGGTGAATGCACACGCTCAGTTCACATCTCGATGTAAAAAGATCGATAGAGCTCAAAATTAAGTGTGGCAAACTCTTTAATTTTTGTTTTTTTGAAAAATTGATCACATAAATTTTTTTTTTGTATTTTGCATATTACATTATCACGCAATTATTATTTATCTTATATTTGTACATAGTTGAATTTAATTTACAAATTATGCAATAAATTAGTTCAGTAAAAAAAATAATGCAAAAAAAGCGTAACGTAAGGTAAGAACTATCCCCCTTTAACCTATCAGTCTCGTAATGTATTATGTGCGCGACCTCTTTTATCAAAATTAGTAAAATTTAGAAAAAAAGTAACATATTTTTAAAACGAAAAAGATATAAACAAATTTAATAAAAGTTTAACATATTTCAATTAAATTAATATATCAATATTTAAATATTTATTTAATACTGTATCATTAGTATACTACATATATGTATATATTGAATGTCAATTTTTCAAAGAGCGCCAATACAAATTGTTCTGCTTCAATTTATTATATTTGTGTATGAATAACCTCGAATATTCTGGCTTCCTTCGATCGAGAATGAAAGTTTGCCTGATTGAGCTCGGGGATGAAATACCTAGGACAAGCCAAAGCCATCTTTTCCCGCTTCAAAATGAAAATAGGCCAATGAGTTTCGTTGCACTGAATAAAAACAGAGCAGGTCAACGACGAACCAACAAACGCCTACATTTACACATTCTTTTCAATGCAAAAAAGAAAAAAAAATCAAAACAATAGCAAAATAAAAATTTACATTTTTAACACTCTTTAACAATCAAAAAAATATTATATACCTAACCAACAAACAAAAAAAAAACATTGTTTTTATACACAGTCAAAAGAATGCAAAAACAATATTTTTAAAACAGGAGAAAGCGATGAGCTTGACTCTGCATCCTTTGTGTTTAACATGGGCCATTCTTTGACGACTGGCAGGCAGATGGGAAAAAATCCTTACCACAGACAAGCCTTTATACCGTCAGCATGTATAATGCAAAGGTTTCAATGCGTGCAAGTAATGTATAGCATGCATGCACTTGCTAGAACAATTTCATGTCATGTCTGGCGCCTATCATCGTCAAGGAAAAGAAACAGGAGCCAAACAAAAGAAATGTCAGACAAATCGGGAGTTGAGAATGGGAAGGACATCGAAAGTTTCCCGGGATGGGAATCTATATGGGCGTGAAAGTTGGAGGGAGTTGGTATCAAGAGTCACCGGATGTTGAGTTGCTAGAAGTGGAGCGGTGAAACTGTCAAAAGATGGTTGAAATAGCTAACCGATAGCGTAAAAGAACACAAAGAACCCTCTACCTTGAATTCGCGAAGAGGGAGAGATGATATATATTGGTCGAAATGGGTTCGTCGCCCTCCCAAGACCCTTAACTTACTAATGTGTCCCTAAACAGAGATATATATCTTGCAATTATCGGCAAGTTGTTTTTTAACATTTCTACATCTAGAAATACATTTCTATATATTGTATCTTTCACTTGTTTAGATAGCGAATTATTTATAAATTAATAAAATAATGTAACTCACCAGAATCGCCATACACATTGAATACGGGGCGTTCGTTATTGAGACGAGAATCCAAAGATGACAATTCACTGAACACTCGCGTACGTCCGCACGCAAAAGAAGCTTGGAGCAACTGGATAAAATTCCAAATTCTGGCAAAAAGCGCCAATGACGCGTAGCGGCGAAATTTGGAACTAATTTCGAAACTGCGTGTGCGCCTTGATAATTAGCGCGAAAATTCAAATGCTGAATTTCTCAACCTAATAAAAATAATTAGAAAATTAGTATTAATAAATAATTACAATAAATATGTATGAATAATTATTAAATTAATTAAACAAATAATCGATTATAGATAGTGAATTTTAAATTAATAAAATATATATTTTTTTTTTAATAAAGTTTTTTCTTCTAACGAAATTATTATTTTTTAAATGACATTTATATAAAAAAGAATAAATTCGACGAAGTCAATATTAACAGTTTTTAAAGGTTTATTCATTGTAAATACATTTTTGTTCGTGCTTAGCTCTCAAGACAAAAAAATAAAGCCAAACAATATCTGCTTTAAAATGTTCAATAATGCTTTTCTATAAGCTAAAGAGCATTTTTCTATTTGTTTCATGTGCCATAAACAATAGTACAGATAATATAATATTATTAATTTTCAAAAATGTTGAATAATAATTTTTTAATTGAAGCTTATTATAAAATTTGTAATAACTAATTTAATAAAAAAAATTTTAATTATTTTACAATAGTAAAATAGAATTTTGTTAAATAAAAAATTAGGATCTTGATAATTGATATGAGTGATAAAAACATTTACCGAAAATACAGTACTGATTGCAGTCGCACAAGATCATTTATCGTGTAAACATGAAAACGCATTAACTTTTAATATACATAATATTCTTTACTTCTTAAAATATAATTTTCTTATATTATTACTTGCGTTACGCAAATACCAATTTTTTTTTTATATTTACACTCTTGTAATTGAATCTCGTGAATTATCTTAATTTTTTTTCTTTTGGTAACTTTAAGGCCTGTTGAAATTTCATTTTAGACAAGTACATTGTTAAAATGGAGTTACAATTTTTGGTGAGCAATTTTTTTTTTTTATTTCATTTTGCACAATATCTGAATACTTCAATGAATTGTTTTTTGTTTCAAACAATTTACACCTTTTTTTTGTTATTTCGTTTTATAATCTATCAGAAATCGAAGATTCTAATAAAAAAAAAAAAATAATAAATTCCGTAATTTGTTTAATTACCTTCCAAACTGTAATTTAAATTATATTATTATTTCCAATATAGTTTTCGATTAAAGTATTTATTCTTTTAAAACGTTTTTTCTTTATACTATTTCATCCTTCTTTTTACTTTTTTTCATTAAAATTTGTTTCGTTTAAAAATGTTACCAATTTTTCAAGCATTAAAAATTATCGCAGATAATTAAGAAAAATCGTTTAAGAAAAATTTTCTTAAAATTAAGAGAAATAATTAATTAATATATTATTATAAAATTAAAATAATTTTTATGTGAAATGTTAACAACAATTCACTGAGATAAGTTTCGTAATTTTCTCTATACGATATCGACGATATCGACAGTAATATTATACAAAGGTTATTTTTTCTTAATATGGTCCCTACAAAAAATAGGTTACATCTATAAGCGATTTACAGTTCATTGATAATTTTGTATATCAATAATATTACACGTCTATTTCTATATTTAATACTTTTCACAATTTTTTTTTTTCACTATACCATTTTCGTTTCTTTTTCCTCTTGAAAAAGGAATGTTACAATAATTTTTTTAGTCGATTATGAATAAAAATAAATTTCTTAATTATAATCTACCAGCATTTTTACAATAAAAAAAAAGTTGTAAATACAACACAAAGAACCTATAATAATTCCGTTATATTTAAAGATTTTTTTCTTTTTATTTTCACGAGAAAACACAAATTTCTTCATGAATAATTAAGTAACGACAAAATAAAAAGTAATTTAAAAAAAAGAAAAATCCAAAACATTTTTTTCTAAAAATTTTGAAATTTCACTGATGATCATGATGACAAAAAATCACATAAAAATAAATTTATTCTACAAAATTTATCAATTTTTTACAACGTGTAAGTCATTTTACTTTCAAGTTTTCCATTTCATTCAATTTAAACAAAACAAAAGTCTCACAGAAACTTTGATTTTTCATAATAATAATAATAATAAAACTTATACAATTGCATTATTAACTAGTTATGTACATACAATGTCTTAAATAATATCGATCTTACTCGATACTATTTTTAGAAGAAAAAAAAACATCTCAGTGAGTTCATTAACAAAATTAGTCTAATTTAAAGTAATGAAATTACTAAAAAAAAAATTTAACAATTGTGTAATATTTTCTTTTTCAAACTGAAAATCAATTCAGCAAAAACTAGTTTATTTATATTTTTCTAAAACAAATGCGCCAATTAAAAAATTAAATATTTTCATTTTCCAAGTAACCAGCACTAAGATTCAAAAAATATTTAACAACAATAATTCACTTGAAATCACTTGAATAATAACAAATTATTATTGTGAACTCACAGAGAAGTTTTTTAAGATTTCAAGTTTACATTTGTTTTTTCCGTTACTTATTTATAATTTTTTTTTTTCATTACTTTTTATCATAAATTTCACAAACTGCTTTAAATTCTATCGTCTCAAGCGTATTTATCACAATATAAACCTGCGAGGTACGTACGTTCGAGTGCAAAATATATTAAAAGAAATTATTAGATCCGCAAAAATCTATTGACGATTGAATTTAAAGTCTAGAAAGATAATAATGGACAGTATTTACTTTTTTTCTTAATAATTCTAAAATTTTGCTTGAGAATTTGATAAATTGACAGCGTAAGGCCAAGTAAGCTGCTAAAGAAATAGAATATTTATTTGAATTTGAAGGTCCTCAGATGTGATACGAGAAGTGTGTCCTAGAAATATTTTATACACTTTTTTTTGTTACTTCAGATATGTTTTTAAAGGTCATTTATTAGGCTTTTCTTGAGATGTGAGATAATTTTAAAATAAACTTTTCGTTTCAAGGCAGATTAGGTAAATGACTAATGAAAATTTTCATTTCGTTTCTAATACATAAATAAAGTGTCTTAAATTTCTAAAGACAAAACGTACCTGAGTGAGATATTAAATGTATCTTTTCGAATAAAGATTATAAAGTTAAATAGATTTAATGAAATATTGTAATTAATCTGATCAATTTTTTTTTCTAATAAAAAATCTTCATCCGTGAGAGTCAATTGACAAAAGTTAATATTGGGAAAATTTTATTTAAAATCAAAATTATTATTTTCTATTCTTCTAATAAAGTAAGCTAAAAAAATATAAAATAAATCAGTAAAATAATATATAGAAATTATAAAATAGATAAAAAATTTTAAAATATAAAAATGAAAAAAAATGTTAAAACATTAATGTAGGTAAATATTTTTAAAAACATTTTTCCTAGAAAAACATGTAAAACTAATATAAATAAAAGATAAAATTATTCTAATTCCAAATATTAATCATTGTCAGTGACTATCACAAATGCCTTAGGTATAACTACATTTTAGGACATTATTGACTCGCAATCGATGAAATCATTTGATAACAAGTGAAAATACAGGTTTTCGTTGCATGGAAGTATTTTTCTTTTTTATGCAATATTTAAAAATTTTTCGAATCTAAAATTTTTCAAGAAGTTGATTATTTTTTCTTTCAAAGAAAATTAAAAATTATTTCAAAAACAAACGATACATTTCATTTGTTTCTTTTTTTATAATCAATGCAAAAAAAAAATATGCTTCGAATTCTTGTTATAGTATGTTACCTATTCATATCACTACGAATATTTCTCTCTCCAACACTAATTACTATATTGACTAATCATTTCCAGAAATGTTAATCTATGTTTAAAAAATTATTTAACTGTGACTTACGCTCTACTATTTGTGTCGATCAATAATTTGTTACTATATTATTAGTCCATTTATCATTAAATTTTAAATTTATCTAGTCTTATATTTCTTAAGGCAGGCTTTTTTAAATATTTACAAATTCACGTTCACTTTTCTTTTCACTAAAAAAGAAATCATTCGCCTCAAAAAAAAGAGATCGCTTGAAAACTGTATAATGATATACTATTTATAGCAAAAAAAAAAGAAGAGAAATCTTCAATTTGAAGTAATTTCAATTTGACAAAAATTTTCACAACTTGAAAATTTAATTTTAATATCTACTTTAACGAATCAATATTATTAAATTCTAACTAAATCTGATTCGTTTTCTTTTTTTTTTGGTCACATTCAAACGTTTATCAGTGATAAATTATTTGACGAAAAAATTTATTGTACATAAAAGTGAGAAAAAAATAGTCTAAGGCACAAAAAATAATATGATTAGTACAACTTCAATTCTAGTTATATAGAAAGAAATAATTTACCACAAATAAAACAATTTGAAATGACTGATATATTGAAAATAGAATCTAGAGTAAAATAATCATTAAACAAGGAAATCGCGATTCTCGTTTGTATTTGATAAGGGTACCGTTTCACCATCAAGATCTTCGGGGGCCAAAAGTGCCTGCCTTGTATCCGAGATTTCCAAATCATTTTTTGAGCGACCTGAGGATTCAGTTTCCTCAAGATTCGTTGACTTTGTAGGCTCCGTGGGAGATGAAATTGATGATTGCGTAGGATTTTCAGTGCTCGGCGAACTGTTTTCTACGTCTGTTTGATGTGGTTTTTCTTCAAATACTAGAAACAAAAGAAAAAAATTATCTTAAAACTATTTTAATTATTTTATTGAGTTTTTTTTCTAATTTTTCAAATTCTATTTTTATAATCTATAAAAATAAATAAAAAATATATAAGTCCAATACAACTTAATTAACAATAATTTTTAATTGATTATAATTATAATGACTTACGTTTGTCGAGACTAATTATAGAGCCGACTAATTCATTGACTGTTAAAGATGGTGGCATATCCTCCATGTGCTTTCTTCTTCTTACGAGCCACCAATCAATTAAAAATAGTGCAAGAGCGAGAATTTTTATTCCAGCGCAAAGTCCAACGTACCTAAATTAAAATAAAACAATAATTTATTAAAAAGTTAAAAGGAAATTTGTCACATAAATTGAAATAAAATAATAATTACTTGTATCTAAATTGCTCGATATCATAGAGAAGGCATCGTCCGCCTTTTTCTCCACAAGTACTTTTCCATAGCAAGCACGTTGAATCTATTAAATTTCCAAAAAGAATGGGAGCTGGTATATAACCAAAAAGTCTAAAAATTACAAATTGCATTCCCAAGGCAAATGATCTTTCTTCCTCAGAAACCGAACTGCAAAGATCAAATCAAATTATTATCAAATTTATTGCTATAAAATATGATTTAGTATTTATTTTTATTTTCTATTTCTATAAAATCATCTCAATAAAAAAATCCGAAAGGCCTTACCGTAAAACTATCATTAATAGAGGCATTTGCGTTACTGCGACAACAAACGTCATAAAAAATAAGAGTATAAGAAACGGAAATATTGTCCGACAAGGGGAAGTACATGGTCCTGCAGTTGCAACAGGAACTACAGTAACTTCAGCAAATTCAGGAGCAACTGGCGGAACAATTGATAAATTGCTGTGAATACCTGTAGAAAAAATATTTCCATAAAAATTGATGAAAATTATCCATTTTCAATGATTTCTAAGAATTCTAATTATTTTTTTTTTATATTTATTTGCAATTTTCTTAATCTTGATTTAAAAAAAAAAAAAAAAAAAAATACTTACATGCGCAATTAGTGAAATTCGATTTAGAACTGAAAGCAGTACAACCAGCATGACAAGGACTAAAATATGTAAGACCATTATTTCCACAAACAGGTTCAACGTCGGTCATACGACATTCGCAACCAAAATTGCAGGCGGCAGTGAGATTAACTTGAAATGGTTCAAGACCTTTCGTACTGCTATTGTAATATGGAATTGTCGTGCCGGCCATTTTGACATTATCGCAACCAAGGAAAAATAATAATCCATAACAAGTCAGGCAAATAATGTTGGAGACTAGAACAAATTGCACGGCGCCCTTTGGCCTTAACTCAAGTCGTTTTAGTAGACAGCCTCCGATAAAGATGCCAATGCATGCTCCTGGTATCGCGATTGAACCCGTAAAGACACTCGCTTGGCTCTTGCCCAAACTAAATTGCGTTTCCAAGTACTTGGGCAAAAATACAACGAATCCTGAAACAATCACTAACTCCATGCAAGCGCCTAAACACGTCACAATATAAACTGGATTGCACAAAAGTCTCCACATACTTCGTGGAATGTCTGAAATAAAAAAAATTATTTTCAAATCACAATTACATTTAATAAAAACAAAAAATACAATTTTTTTTTTATTAATTTAATTTGTCAAATTGTTAATTCACCTTTGATATCTTTTCCATAAGCAGTGTCATTTGTGTCAATTGGTTTTTTTATTTCTTTGGTGGTTTCTTTCTCCTTAATCGGCGGTGGTTTACTCTTTTCGATAATTCGAATTTTTTCTTTCTCACGTTGCAATGTTTTTGGGAAGCTGAAGAATGGAATAGCAGTTATAATGAGAAGTAAACCGCAGAGTAAAAATCCTCCCCACCACATTCCTACCCATCGATGATCTCCTGGATCTGTAGGTAAATAAATTCATTATTTATAGCATTAGAAGAAAATAAGTAAAAAAAAAAAAGAAAAAATTTACCAATGCTTATGATATTTCCTGCGAAAGAATCCATGTGATAGGAGAGAAGGAAAGCTCCAAGAAGGAAGCCAAGAACTGGACCAAACGCTGCCATACTGTAGACGCAGCCTAAAACAAATAATTATTTTCATAATTTAATTATTTCCATTTTAAATTTAATTATAAATGCAGAACTTTAATTAAGAAAAAAGAAATTTACCAATGTACAGGGAAGCACTGTCTTGACTGACATGATCGTCTATGTACGTTGTACCTAGAGTAAAAAGAGGTGAACCTCCACATCCTAATAAAAGTTGAGCAAGCACAAAAAGTAAAACAGGGCCAAATGTCGACGGAGTTCCTTGAATGCAATTATCACCCCTTAAATTGTTATGCGGTGCTAAGGGTGGTGACGCGAGACCAGTTGAAAGACGACCTAAAAAATGGAAAAATAATTTTTAGATTGATGTAAATAAAATTTTTTGAAGAAATTTTTATTTCACTTAAATAATTTTTTAATTATATACTACAATCGTACAAGAAAATTTAAAAGGTTCAAAGAAATTCTATATTTTTGATTAAACACTTTTTTGTTAAAAAAATTAATATTAAAAAAAAAAATTCAATTATCTTTGTCCTATAATTATAGTTGTAAACATTTACTTTCGATAATTCAAAGGAGAAAAAAATAGTTTTTCAAATATACCTAATCCCATATCTTGCTCACGCAGCGAAACTCCACGGCAAATATTGTCTGAATTGGAGGCATTGGAAGTGGTTGTGAGGTTTGGTTCAGCTGTAAAATGCGGAATGACAAAAACCATTGAACCTAATCCTGTTATTACGGCACCTGAAAGAAGAGAGAATATTTTTTAAATAATATTTAGAAAAATATATTGATAAGAAACACAATTTGTCAGATTATAATTTATTCAACGTTTGTGACACATTTCAGGAAATGTAATTTCTAAAGATTCTAAAAGGTAATTTTTTAAACATCATAATGTCAATATCAAAAAAGTACATAATTTATCGTTATGTTCAATTTATAATTAAATATACATGCATTTGAAAAGTAATAATTTTTAATATTAAAATGCAATATTTTAATTGTTCTTACCGATTGCTATCCAAACGGGAATGTGTCTTCGACTACCAAGATAACTGACAAAAATAACAGTAATAACATTTCCTATTTCATAAAAGCTTGCTATGAGACCCGAAAGACTGGATGGGATCTCAAATCTCTTCTCGATCGTTGTGATCACAGAATTAATGTACCCTGAGCTAAGTGCTTGTTGTAAAGTAACAAGGAACGACAACAAAAATACAAAGACCTGAAATAGAAAAAAAAATCACACATCAATAAAGTGAAAAGAAAAAAAAAAAAAAAGTTTTTCAATATCTCTCGCAATTTTTATAATAATTTATTAAAAAGAAAAGTAATCAAAAACTTTCCGGGGTAAATGAATAGTCAATATATATGTATACTTTATTTACACACACGTGAATTTCAGCAAACTGCACGTGCGATGTAAACTATTTAATATTCATAGGAAAAGTAGCATGTGAATATAAAGTACTTTAAAATACAAGTATACATATAGATAAAACAGAAAACTGATTAATGGACAATAATATTAGTATTTGTTCTTTTATGTTAAGTGTATTTTTTTGCATTAAACATCGATCTTCTCTGTACAGAAAATCATTTTTCCATTAACATAATAAAATAGAACAAAAATGAAAAAAAAATTTATTAGCCTTTTTTACAATTTTAGTTATTAATTTAAAGGCATACAATTCTTATATTCTGGAAAACACTTTTTTCAATTATTATTATTATTTAGAAACTTTATTATTAAGTGAAACAAAAATTATTATTATTATTAAAATATCCAAAATTTTTTGCAATTTTTTCTTTCCTTCAAAAAATTAATAAATGATTTTTGACTGAAAACCAGATTTTGAAATCTAAAATTAGAATAGAAAAAATATTTCTAAGGTCAATTCTATGAACCAAAAAAATTTATACAAAAAAAAACAAATCTGTATCATAATTAATATAATAAGGATAATAAAGAAATTTTTAATATAATATTTTCTGTCATTCAAACAGACTGCAACTTCGTTAACGTCAAATTAAAATAGAAATAAAAAAAAGCAAAATGAAACATTATCGATTGATGTTTCAAAGTGGTCTTATAAAAGTAAAATTGAAATGTATTTTCGAGACATCAAAATTCAACACTTGCAATTTTCCAGGCGTTATATTGTTCGATAATAATGATGGATTAATATATATATGTCGACACACGTGGCTTATTGCATAAAATGAAACCGAACAAAAATTTGATTACGAACCTTAATACTTGCAAAATTTTGAATGAAGGCCGGTCTACAAGTTAGAATTCCACAGTCCTTTGAATCCGGACTGACAGGAGGTGTTTGCGGTTTTTCCTTTTCAGTCCTGAAAAATATGAGAATTTGACATAAAATCGTTAATAATTAACTTTCCATTACAATAATTAACAACATTTTCAACTAAAAAATGTTGATATGATAAAAAAAAAGGAAAATATCTTCTAATTAGAAATTGAATAATTTATTTTAAAAAAATTTTATATTACAAAAAATAATTATAAAATTGAAAAAAATAATTATTTGAAAAATTTACATTAAAAATAATTTTGTCGGGATAAAAATGTGTTTTCTCATTTTTTTTGTGATGAAAAAATTTTTTATAATTAAAAAAAAAACTTCCAATTTGATAGTAGTTTTTTTTTTTTATTAAAATAACAAGTCTATTATATTAGAGAGAAATCTTCTTAGTAAAAGAAGCTTTTAAAAATTAATTTACCTGTCTATCATGGAAGCACTTGGATTCCTGCTATGACATTTGATGACAAAGTCTCTGGAAAAGTGCAAAATAAAATGAAATGATGAGGTGAAATAAAAAATTTCTTCTATATATATATATACAGGGTGTTCAAAAAGTATGAAAAATTGAAAATATCTCGAAAAGTACGCATTTTCGTGATTCTTCGCTTTTCACTATTTGGTCCCGGGCCCAATGTTTTGGGTTCAAAAATGTGGATCTTTTTATTGGGAACATTTTTGACAAAAATGAGTAAATTTCACGATATTTGCAAGTTTCTCTACTTTTTTGAACACCCTGTATATATAAAAGTCTATATATAAGAATAATTTAGATGGAAAATAACATTTTTTTTTCTCCGCAAGTTTGAAAAACGTAATAAAAAGGAATTGCAACGACAGCGATTAAAACCCTCTGGGAATAAACGTGTAGTCTTATGCATTTTAATATTTTCCCAAGCCACAATTTATCAAATCTCTCTCGTGCAACTAGAATTTTCTTTGTTCACAAATCATCAAGGAAATAATTTTTTTTTCTTCAATTGACGTTGATTTTTATATATAACAATAAAAATCGCAACATTTTATAAAATAGAATAAAAATTTTCGATTTTAGAAAATTTATTTTTCAATTATTTTGATTTTTATCTCATGAATAAATAACTAAAATAAATTAATTTATAATTGTTAAATGTATAATACTTTCTCTATGTTTTATTAAAAAAAAATACTTGTTTCGATTTATTTATATTTTTTTATTGGACAAAACAAACAATTGTAGTGAATGTGTATTAGTCAGAAAATTTCTATGATACGTTTATAAATCGTGCCATGGCCACCATGAGATTACTTTCTACCCGCGGATAGACCTCCATTACTTTAGCAAACCATGTTGAGCATTTAATCATGAGAAAATTAAATACTGTGATTTTTCGCAAGCAAAAGAAGTAATAATTCTCTTTCATAATTTTTCATTCGTTAATCATTCTATAGTTTCAAGGTTTCGATAATATTAAATGAAATTTAATTCATAAATTATATTATAAGGAATAGATGCAATTCTTTCTTTGTTTGTACTGAAAAATGCGAAAAAAAAATGTCTAGTAAAAGAATTTTAAATTCAATTCATCTCTTTCTTGGTAACATGTACTTTTCCTCGAAAGAATGTTTTACTTTCATAAGATTGTCTTCGGCTATATTTAAAAATTACTCACTTCAATGGACGGTAGTTTTAATTAATTGTAAAATTATTCGAAAAGCATGAAACAATGGTAGTTATATTACTAATGGTTATCTTTAACTAATAATAATTTTACTTGATATTTTTAAATATCGAAAGGAGTTCAATTAACGTTCACTCTGATTAATGGCAGTTGCAATTAATTCTTTTTTTTATTATTTAAATTTAAAAATTATTCTTTTTTTGAAATATAAATTTTTTAAAATAATAGTTTTAAATAGTGAAAATTTTACATTTTTTAATAAATTGGTTGAATCAATTAATTTATTTATCTTATGATCGCTTATGATTGAATATATTGTAATATTTTTTTATTCCTATAGTTAAATGTTTTTTTTTAATTTATGAAATTGCATAAATGATTTTTATAAGCTCACCTATGGTCCATTATGCCAGAACTTGGATTTCGACTGTGACATCTTATTACGGTATCATGTGTCAATGGCAAATCTGAATTTTCGCCAGCATTACCACCTGTACTTTCTGCATACAAACCAGTCATAGCATACATACTCTCATTCCTCCTGTGTCCTGAATAATAATTGCTACCTGAGTCGGACCTGTTGAAAGAAAATTCTATCAGAAAGGTCAAATCATCAGTTTGGTCATTTACGCACGAAAGTGGATTTCAGTGTCATCTTGATTTTTACTTTCAAAATTTTTATTAAAATTAAATTAAATTGTAAAATAAATATTTTAATAATAAAAAAAAGATTTTATTACTTTTATTTTTTTTCTCCGACAATTTAAATATTCTTTTTATTTAATATTATAATTTTCCACTTTCTATAAAAAAAAAATAATATACTTTTTCTTCTTCTTTAATTTGTGAAATTAATCAATTACAATTTACTTATTTATCGAAAAAGAGAATTTTTTTTTGTACAATCTCTCATTATATCATTTATAATTAATTTTTAAAATAAATTCCTGTTCAGACAAATCCCTTTATGAACTTTAAGTCTATTATATTCTAAACTCCATGGATTCTGAAATCTGATCTCTGTCGGATTCTCTTACCCTTTATCATTACATGAATATGAATTTGAAACCCTTCAAAAAAAAAGAAGAAAATAAAAAAATACTAAGTATAGAATGCAGGTATCTAGATTATAAAAAATGAACAGATTTAAAAATATATTTTTTTCGCGACAAACTATAATTTTTATAAAATATATTTACATTATATTCTAGTTTTGTTTTTTAATAGGAAACGATTTTTATAATAAAATCATAAATATTTCGAGTAAAATTTAAAAATTATTGATAAATTTTAATAATAATTAATAATAATTCTTAAAAATATGTTTAATATTAATTTTTTTCAAGAAAAATTAAAAATATTCTATAAAAGAGTAAAAAAAAAATTTCTTTTTATGAAACTTATGTTTATTTAAATATATAATTGAAAAACTTAAAATCAATTTTAAATAAATATTCCATTTTCAGGTCTTTTTTTACTAGTTCGCATAAATGTGCAATAAACTATTAACAGATTATGGATTCTTTATGAAGGAAGTAAAATTATGCATCAACAGTAGTCAATAAATTATTGATATAACTATAAAGTTTAGAAAACCTCGTAATTTTGTATATTATTCGGTTTATAAGATTAAATAGTGCGATAAATTTACAGTAAAAAAATTTAATCCCAATCGCTTAATAATTTTGAAATATAATAATATACTGTAAGCTCGTTTAATTAATTAGCATACATTTATTGGCCATTTTTGTTTTAAATTTGAAAATAATATTAAAAATAATTAAATAAAAAATTGTTTATAAAAAATTTTTGTTAAATAAAATTTCCAAATTAAAAAAAAATTTTTTTTTTAAATATTATTTTTAAAGACTTAAAAAAAAAAATTATGCGATAGTTAAAGTTTTTTTTTTATACCTTCTGTGCCCAAAGCCAGGAATGTCACCAGTTTTGTGACTGCCGTCGGAACGTTTTTGGCTAAAGGCACTTGATATGCTTTCAGCACGTTTGTGGCCACTTTCTGACCATTTGTGACCAATAAATCCTCCTCCAGATTCGGTTCGTCTATGGCAAAACATACTTGATGACGAGCCATTTCTCTTGTGTCCATTTGCGTTGTTTGAAGCCATCTTTCCCTTCTCAACGACCCTAATCTCTTCCTCTTTGAAAAAAAAAAAAAAAAATCTAATTACGTTGCTCTTCGCCAAGACATAATTGCTACATCCTCCAGTTTACTGCAACAAAAACAAGACAACATAACAATTAATCCACCATAGTATAATGATATTATAATTACATAGTACAATTATAAAAATAATTAAAAAAAATAAATAAATAACGAGAAAAGAAATAAAAGTTCTTTAAAATAATTAAAAAAAAAAAAATAGGAATTTTTCTCGAATTTAAAATAAGTCAATAATTCAAATTAAAATCAAATAAATATATATTTATTACGTATTCAAATTTAGAGAGTATAGGATTCGTTTTTTAAAAAGCGAAAGCCTTAGAGAAAATGAAAGTTGTGTTTTTTAAAAAGGGAGTGATAAAAAAAAGAAACTCCTAAAGAAAGAGAATGTTACTAAAAGAAATGACTAATGGAAAGAGTAATGAAGAAAAGTTCTTAAAGCGCAGGAAATATTTTTCTTAAAAGTCTTAAAGTGACTTTTATAAGAAAATTCCCTTTTGGAAATTTTTAATGAAACACTTTCTTTACACTCTAAATCTCTCTTAATATTAATTATTCTGTTCTAAATCAAAATAATTTTTCAAAAATTTTTTTTTTTTTTTCTACAGTCAACCTTTAATTCAAGGCTAATTAAAATACTGATTTGGCACGACGACATTAATATGAATTTCAGCCAAAGTAGAAACTAAAAAATAATTTAAGCGTTTGCGATTGTCACTCTTTCTCTTTTGTTTCATCTTAATGAATTCCTAGGCATGCGGACGGCTTTTTTAGATTATCGATTATAGAGTTGCCCTTGATTTTAGAGCCCAATGAAAAATTGAAGAAGCTTATTCAACCACAATATATTTGAAAAAGTAATTTTTATTTACTAAAAAGTAACATTGTAACACTTCTTCTTCTTTTTTTTTTTTTATTCAAGTGTTTCCTTGAACTATATATTATTCATATGCCAGGCGATAAGTCTTCGTTTGACTTTTTAGTCTCAGGGCTTGCTCTTTTTCTCTCCTTCGTATCAGCACTGTTCCATTTAGATTGATCCGGAGAAATTACACTCTCAAAGACAAAGAAACATCATCATATCTTTAATTGAAGACAATTATTCCCAATTGGAAACTTAGACATAATTTATTATTCATTGTTTAGTTTATTTATATTTATTTCAATAAATATTAATTAATTTAATAAAATAAAGAAAATTCGTTGAAACAATAGAATATAGGACAGAATAGAAAAAATTTGCATTGAAGTAACACATTTAACATTAACGTTGGAATAAATGTAAAATTTTTCTTGAAAAAATTCATTTCACGAATAGAATGAATTTTAGTTAAACGAAATAAAGAGAACCGTTATAAAGTCGCGGAACTTTATTTCATCTCTGAAAATATTATACCGTTTGTTTGTCACGAGATCATCGAACCGCAAAGGAGAAAGAATAGCAAGTGATGCAAATTAAAATATATACTACAAAAATATTACGAGTTCATAAACCCTGAAAAATTACCTCTTTTCATTGACTCATCAAAGAAGGATTTCACAAAGGAGTCTATATATTATATATTGCAATTAGAAGTAACGCAACTTTTGAAATCACTCTTTTTAACGAGACTTATTCTTTTTAAGAAACATTTTTTTAATATTTTACTTGGACTATATATTGAAATGTTAAACATTTTTTTTTCTAATATAATTTTTGTATAATAAAATTATTTAAAAATATTAAAACATAATTTCTGAATGAAAATATATTTTCTTCAATTGTTATAAAAAAAAAATGTAATTACAGTTATATTTTATAAGTAAATATTCTTGATTCGAACTTAAGAGATTATGAATCAGTGCGTGTTAATGAACTCATGTACAAAATATTCCGAATGCAGAGAATTTCCGTTATAAACTAATTGTAAGATTTAAAGGACAAGAAATCGTTTTTCGAGAGCACACAACTCAAAACCTTAATTCTTAATTTCTTTTTTTACGCCTGATATACAGAGCGAAACATAATTTTTGATAAAATCCAGTATGACAAAAGCTATTTGAAAGTAAATAATGCTTAATTTATAGAATAAGTTTTTAAACGGAGAAAAACATTTTTGACATAAAAAATGAATAATTAAATAAAAACAGTATAAATAGTAAAATTTTATATTTTCATTTAAAAAAATATGAAGAAAAATATTCTTTTAACTAATTAATTAATATTTAATTATTCTTTCAAAAATATAATTATCCTTTTTAATTCAATTTAATAATAAAAAAAATTATAAACAAAAAAAAAAATAAAAGATTCATTCTAAAATCTCGCAAATTTCCTCATACGAGTGCATTGTCCACTGGTAATTATGTTGTTCACCTCGCGCATGTATATTTGAAAAGAAAACGAAAGTAAAAAGCACTGTTCCAGAAATAATATGTTGAACCCTTTATATATATACATGAGTTCAAAGTAACATCAACTTTTTTTTTCACAGACAATACACTTAAAAAAAAAAAAATACTATAAAGCACATGAAAACATAATGGGAGAGAGGGAAAGGACAAAGAATATGTAAAGAGGAACAACTTTTTTTCACTTATGGATTTGAAAGATTCGAGCAAACATCCTAGAGGTGTGGGTCGCGTCAAAAAAAAAAGAGAAAAAAAAGAAACGAATACTTTATATATATGAATAACGCAGTCGTTTGTAAACTTAACATCTTTCAAAAACTCATCAAATATTCAACGATGAGCAATTTTATACTTCTTTTTTTAAAAAAAAACTTTTCGAAATATTAATTTACCATTGTTTTAACATTTTTGCATTATTTAAAAAAATAATATAAGAATTATTATATAGTTAGTAAGAATAAAATATAGAATTAAATTAATTAAAATTAAGATAAAATTAAATTAAAATTTATTTGAAAAAAAAATTAATATATTTCAAACAATTAAAAGAGAAGAGAAAAATAAACTGTGTGTATTTAAATTTCTATAGAGAGTTTTTCACATTGCTGAAAATTTCAAAACAATTTTATGATCAATGATTTTTAAACCAATTTTTTTTTCCCCGATGAAAAATTTTAATAATTTTTTGTCTTAAAGATATTTTTTTGCAATGTTTATTGATGAAAAAAAATAATGTGCTTTCTAATCATTAATCATAAACGTTGTAGACTTAAGTAAAATGCGTTTTTCAATATAAGTCGTATTTCCGATTTCCAAATATGGTGAGAATAAGAACAGCTTTGTAAAAAGACATCATGCAATTTGAGAAGGATTCAACCCTGATGGAAATAGCGACCCAGAAACCAGCCTATCTCTATTTTATATATATATATATTACTTATAAAACTCAACACGCGATGGCCCGTTCAATCTTCAAAATATAGCAAATATAATAAAACAATGATATTTTTGATCTATGTGTGTTAATGTCTTTATAAGGACACGTGTGTATAACCGTTCCCCAAAGTTCATTAGTTCGTATAAAAAAAAAATTTATTCAATATAATCTTCATTGAATCGAATTTTATGTGGAAGAATTTTTATTCAATCATTATATTTCAATTATTATAAAAATTTATAAAAATTAAATTAAATTAAAAAATAATTTACATTTAGAATCGAATTTTCATTCAAATTTTCATTAATTTTCGTTCAAATGAACGAAATAAGGTTTTTGCTCTATAATAATTTAGCTAAAAAAAAAAATTCTATTTAATGAAATTCTAGCAAATGAAAATTTCAACTAATAAATTTTTATTTTAATCAAATTTTCATTAACGAGAATTTCTATATTATTACTAATTAGAATATTTATTTAATATGAAGCTGAAGTATATACCCAACGTTTTGTGATAAACGATTATTTTAAAGAAATAATTTTTTAAAATAAAAAATTCTCTAATGTTTTGCCTAAAAAATATTTTTTTTTTTATAAATTTTGTTGATTAATAAAAACCACAAGAAATATTTTTTAGGCGAAAAATTATAGAATTTTTCATTTTAAAAAATTATTTCTTAAAAAATCGTTGCGTACTTTATTTAATTTTTATATTTTTAATACATATACAAATTTTGTTTTTTTCTCCGCATACATTGAAAAATTCAACTTGATATAAAAAAAAGCATCACAAAAAAAAATACAAGATGTTATTTTATCTGCAAACGATTGGCATAATCGTGAACAGGATTATATATAATTATAATTATATTCTAAAACCAATATAGATTTGTAGTCACGCGACCGCGAGCAAAGAGAGAGAAAATGTTCAATTTGAAAGTGCCTTTAATCAATCTTCTCTCCTCTTACTTAACAACGATCTTTCTCTTAAAATTATTATGCTTGTTGTATAAATCTATATGTATATTCTTGACAATATAATTCAATTTCCAGACAATTTTTATAATTATAATTTTTCCAACTTTCTAGTATAATAAAATAGTTCTTGAAAATCTCACAACATTCTGATGATAAATGCAAGTCAAAAACTAATTATGAAAGTGCATTATTTAATAAACATAGAAGAGAATGAAGTTATAAATTTTCCAGATGGATAACTTTGAAATATGTGTGTGTGTGTTGCGAACTTATAACAAAAACACGCGTATCTTGAAATCGATTCGAGATACATAGTGTATACATATATGGAGGATATCTGGCACACTAGACTCATTGCCACGAGTTTACTGAAACTTGTGTAAAGAGTCAAGGACTTTTATACACCTACAACCAATTCATTAAATCACATAGCGCACCTACTAGAATTTTTAATCCTCTAATATATATATATATATATATACTCTAACGGGAAACAAGAAGAGTAAATAAAGCAATATAAACTAAACACTTTTAGTGTGATGAAATTAATTTATAATCATAAATATGAATATGCTCTAATATATTAATTTAATTCGAATTTGCACAATTTACGGCCTTTAAAACGACCATTTTCTATTTAGTTGAATTTTATAATCTGTAGAAATTTTTTTTCACTGAAACCTATAAATTTTTATATTTAGTCGACTTTTTAGCATTTTTATTAAATCTACATTTCATTAATA